GGCTCTTAGCAAGTGTACAGCATTAAGCAATAACTATTTTTTCCTTTCCCTCGCCTTGCTGCCAGGGCAGGTCTGAAGGGAGGAGACGGCACTTGGTGCTTTTGGGCACCCAAGCACTGCTCCCAGGGCTGCCCCTGCTGCCCACAGGGCTGCCCACGAGTGGAGCAATCCCTGCAGGAAACGGGACTGGGGGATGTCCTGCCCACTGTGGTGCTTCACTGCTTGTCCCAGCAGCACGTGCTGCCCTCCAGGAGGGCTGGCATCTTGCTGGAGGCACCCCAGGTCCCTGGGTCTGGGGAAAGCTGTGGCAGGATCTCTGCTAGCAAAAGGCTGGGCTGAGCAATGGAGGGTGGCTTTGGTAAGGGTGTTTGTGTGGGGCTGGGGCCCAGGAGGTGTTTGCTGGAAGTGTCTCCAGCACAGGTGCACCTTAATGGCTACAGTCAGCGTCTGCTACAGGCGTAGCATCACACCTTGGGGACAGGCAGATCATGACCTCTCCTGCAGGATAGGTGTGCTGCAGTGTCTATGGTCAGCATCTGCAGTACAGGTGTATGGTACCATCTACAGTCAGCATCCGCAGTACAGGTGTACTTAGTGTCTACAGTTGGCATCTGCAGTACAGGTGTACTGTAGTGTTTGCAGTCAGTGTGTGCAGGACAGGCGTACCATAACGTCTACAGTTGGTGTCTGCAGTACAGGCGTACCAGAGCATTTGCAGGAGGTGTCTGCAGTACAGGCATACTGTAGCAGCTACAGTCAGTGTCTGCAGTACAGGTGTACCATGGCACCTACAGCTGATGTCTGCAGTAGAGTTTGTACCATAGCATCTACAGTCGCTGTCTGCCGTACAGGCACACTGTAATGTCTACAGCTGGTGCCTGCAGTACAGGCGCTGCAGAGCTCCTTTGGAAGGCTCTGGGCAAGGCTGCAGAGGGGTCACACAAGGAGAAAATGACTTAATGAAACTTTTTTCTCCCCCGGGTCACCACTTCAGAGCCAGGCCCTGTAACAGCATCCAGTGGGGATTTGCCCAACAGAACACTTTGTCATGGAAACACTAGGTTTTGAAAGTACCCTTTTTTTTTTTTGCAGGAACCCCCACTTCCAGAATGGGATTTTACTTATTTATCGTGGCTGGAAGGGGGCTGTAGGGGGTGAGAGTTGTGGGGGGAGGCTGGGGTGCAGCCTGCATCCCTCACCAGCTGGGGACAGCCCTGCCCTGGAGCTGCTGCCATTTCCAGCTGGCTGTCACCAGTTAATACCCCATTGCCAGCGAGCATCCCCATGGCTTTGGGGATCCTTCTAAGGGGGAGCTGGAAAGGATCCATCTCTATGCCTGCTCAGAAGAGGACACTGGGACTATTGAGCAGACGATGGCATCCTATTTTTTGCCTGGATACACGATCCTCTTTGCTCTTGCTGCCCACCTCAGGACTGTCCTCACCCCATCATACCACAGCAGGTAATGTCACATCGCTATGCCCCTTCAATCCTGCTTGCAGGAGCAGCTTCTGGGTTTGTCTTCATAGGTCTGGACACAACCCCCTTCCACATAGCCTGATCCAGCTCAGGGAAAGCACAACTGGAAACGCATTTGGTTTAGACCAAGAAATGTGGGAGGGGACCACATTCATGCCTACGTTGAGTTGTCTTCTGCTAAAAGTGACCATGACTGATGTCCTCATTACCCTTGGTGCAGAGGACAAGGCAGGAACGGATCAAGCTGGTCTCTCCCAAAACAAGAAGCTGGGGATAGTGAGGAAGGCTGCCAGAGGCGGCTCCTGCTCCAGAACTGCTGGGCCACCACATCTCATGTGCCCCCTCACCTCCCTCTGCTCCTGCCTGGGCTCCTCTTTCCTCTCCACTGCCAAGAAATTATTCACTACAGGGTCAAAAGCAAATACTCTCCAACCTCTTTTTCCGCAGAAGATTGAGTTTCCCACTGCTGGGTTTGCTGTGTAATAAATGCAGTTCCCCACTGTCACCTTTCAACTGGTCCCTCCCGGAGCAGGGACACAGCCTGGGGAGCTGCATGCCCGGTGAGCTGCTGCTCGCTGGCCCGTGTGCCCGTGTGCCGGGGTGCGGGATTTTGCTAGAGAAACTGCTAAATGAGCAAATACAGCAAATGGAAATTTGCATTAGAAGCATCTGCAGAAATTGCAAAGGTTTTGTTATGTGCTTGGAAAAGAAAAATCAACATGGCTTTGGGCAAAACAGGCAAACAAAGCAAATACTGCATGGGAAATTGCGATTCAAGTGAGAAAAAGTTGGTTTTCTGGCTAGATTTTTCGCACTGAAATAGCTCCGGCTCCTGCCTGGCGGCAGGGCTCATCTCCAAGAAGTAATGAGGTTTTGCAGGGCGAAAGCAGTGGAGCGGTGAGGTCTCTGTGCCAGCCCTGGGAGCCTCTGGCTGTGTCATGGCCATGCCACAGAGTCCCCAGGGACCTTGGCTGGGTCCCTCTTCACTCTTTTTCCACCTGTAGCCAAACAGCATCGTGCTCAAGACTATCAGTGCTTTGGGACAGGAATCATCCCTTGCCATGTAACTCTGGTGTCTGTCTCCACACAGGTCTGGCCTCTGGTGAGGCTGCCAGGCACATGGACAGGAGCAGCAGCAATTATTTTAATGACTGATAAGACGAGGAGCAGCAGGGGAGAGTGAGTGGCTTTGCTCCCTGGCGGGACCAAGACGTAGAGCGTGATGGTTGGCAATGATATTTGCACTGGCACAAGTCAAAACGAAGGCTACAGCGAGCAGATCTCGCGCTTTTCAAAGAGCAGGCTGATTGCCGGGGGGCTGGAGGGGCTCCTGTCCTGCATCCCATCTTGCCACTGTCCCCAGAGATGGGATGGCTGCGCTACCTGGGGGTGCCTGGACTGCAGTGCACAGTAAGGGGCTCCGGCTCTGGTGCAGTTCCTTACCTGCTTCAATTCCTGGTGCCACCCACCAACTTTCAGGGCTGTAGGGAGGCAATATTCAGTGGGAAGTGAATTTGGGATTGGTAGGGAGAGTTGGCTCCTGGTTTGCAGGCAGCTCCAAGCTGCTTGGTGCCCCACATGCCAGCATTGCCCAGGGATGTGGCATTGCCTCCTGCCTCGGGTCCCAGCCATCACCCGCTCCCCAAGGTGCCGCTTGCGATGGCAGCTAGCACACAGGTGGGGTGGCAGCAGGCGAGCCACACTGCGAGCACGGTGGAGACACATGGAGGAGGCAGAGCGGGGAGCCGGCATGGGGAAAAAGAGGAGCAGGAGAGAAGCAGCAGAGTGAATGAGAATGATGTTGTAATTAGCACTTAGCGCTTCTCGCCCAGAGCTTTCAAAGGAAGGTCACCTTCGTTATCTCTGTTTTACAGGCGGGGAAACTGAGGCACGGGGGAGGCAGTGAGAGCAATTTGCTCAAGGTGACCCAGGAGGGCTGGGGCTGGGCTGGGAGCAGGATCTGGGGCTGGCGTGTCCGTGTTCTGCCACCACAGCCATGCCAGGGCCGGTTCTTGCTGCCAGCCCTCGCTGCCCAAACCCAGCGCTGCAAATTCAGCAGCAAGGTCATGGGTCCCTTCTCTGCCTGTCTCCCAGCTCCCCATTCTCAGGGTCCCTGTCCTTCCAGCATCCCTGCCCATGAGAGGCATTTGAGACCAGGCTGCACCCCAAAATCTGCTCATGGCACCCCTCCCAGCCATGCTTGCCTTCCCCTCCAGCCCTGCAACGGCTCATGTCCTGCTGCGAACCCAAGGCCATCTGGGCTCCTGCAACGGCCGTGTTGGGTAATGGAATATGTTCTGATGTTTTTTTTTCTCTGGCTAGTACAGCTCCCCCTTCATTTAGGTTTAAATGGACGCCATCTGGCTAACGAGCCCATACTCATGTTCTAGATTAAAAGGCAATCCTCCGCGCGTTACCGATACAGCGCTGGAGATTAGAGAGGTTTAAACAGTTTTGAAGGTGTAATTTGCTTTTCACGCATGGTGCTATTTACCTCCTGGCGGGTGGGCCAGCATCCCCATCATACCATCCCCAGCAGCTCCCTCCTGGCTCTGGTCTCCTCCACCAGCCCCAGCGGCAAGAGGAGGAGAGCTCAGGTGTCACCAAGCCTGGCAGGGCTGCGCAGGGCATCCTTGTGGTTGTTGCTGCCATTTGTCCACTCCTGGGGAGGCTTGTTGGTGCAAGGAGTATATTCCCTGCTTGCCCCTAAAGCCCAGCATGTCTCCACCCGCCTGCCTTCTTAGCTGTCCCCCCTCTGTACCTCCCTGCACCCCAGCATCCTCCGGGACATGGCACGGGATGGAGCAGCCTCTGCCCCTCTCCCTGCCCAGAGAAATGGGGGCTGACTGTGGCCCATCAGGCTATCAATGGCAGGCAGCTGGGGCAGCTTGCAGCACCCGTCGGTCACTGCAAAGACACCGATGAGGATTATGCTGTCCTTGGCATGCCCAGAAATGCTGCTGCTGTTGCATCAGGCTGGCGGACAGCATGGTGCTCGGTGCTAATGCCAGAAGGCTCCACACCAGAGCAGCAGCAGCAGCTACCTGTGCTGGGATTGGCATTTTGCACATCCTAAGCACTGGCTGCAGCTGTGAAGTGCCTGTGTATGCTCCCATCTCTTCAAAAAACCTCTGGAATCCGCTTGCAGGCAGTGTCTGTTCCTAGGGTGATGCTGCAGCTGCCAAGGACAGCCCAGCACCAGGGTTTGACTTTCTTAAGGGAAAGGTTGAAAATGAGATGAGGAGAACGCAGCATTTATGCAAGATGTATCATCGCCTCCAGGCACCTGGTTGTGCTGGTAGCTCCCATGGAAAGTGCCACAGGCCATTGAACAATGGAGCGTGCACCGGCAAAAAGCCTCATTTTGCAGTGAGTTCCCCTGTGGCTGAGCTGAAGTCTCACTTCATGGCCATCTCCTTGCAGTCCCATCGCTGCCCAGGAGGGACCAGCTCTCAGCACACCGTGTGCGAGGTCTCCTGGGGGCAAACCCTGACTGCTCCTGCCTGTGTTTACTTCCACAGATGGCTAACCCTGTCCCGTCAGCCTGCTGCGTGGTGCTCGCCGCGGTGGTGGTGGTGTACGCCCAGAGACACAGCCAACAGGGTGAGTCTCTTCACACCTCTCCCACCTTGGGGTCCCAAAAAATGTGAATGACACTCCTCCAGCCTCTGTCCAGGGGCAAGCTGGGTGCGCTCTCCAGGCTTGGCTGATACTACGTTTCTGGATGTTATTGCTGTTCTCCGCTCCGTGACACGTCCCCTCCTGCCCACCGCTGCAGGATTTGGGCATCCTGCATCCCCACAATGCCTACTGGTGCCCCTCGCCCTGCCCACACCCCCGCATGTCCCAGGGTGCTACTACAGCCAGGGCACCACTTCCCAGCCCTTCTCCCCAACTTTTCTGCATGCTGCCTTGTGCAACCCACTCATGAAGGGATGCGTGGGTGGAAAGAAGTGGCAGCCTGACCGCCCCAAGCCCCGGCACCCTACCCCATCACCATGATGGGTGCCTCCTCCTCCTCTGACCTCCTTGGAGTGACTTTGCCCCCATTGCCACCACCCATCTGTGCCCACCACTAGCTCCTGCCTCTCCAGGTTAGCAGAGGATTTGGGGCTTACCTTAGCAATGACTTTAGAGAGACGAAATTTTAGGGACACTGGTGATCCTGGGTCCAGGTAGGAGCAAGAGGGTTATGAGGCAGTGGGTTGCGTCCCGCTGTGGGGTCACCTGTGGCAGCCCTGCAAAAATGGGACAAAATGGGGGACCTCCAAAACTCACTGGATCCCTGGCAGTCAGCCTGGCTGTTGTTGCTTTCGGTGGATTATAGAGAATTTTGCTGATTAACTCCGATAAGGACATCTGTTCATTCGTGGGTTCTGTGGGATCGAGGAACACAGCCAGAGCACCCCACTGAGCTCCCCTAAATCCAGCTGGGTGAGTTTACATTGCTGGAACTGACAGCCTTGCTTGCTTGGACACAAAGAAGATGGGGTTCAGTGGCACATCCCCGTTGTGTGGGATCAGCCGTTCTCCAGACACAGAGGGAACTTGCTGGATGGTGTTGCAGGAGCGTTCCCAGCACCTTCCCAGGGTGCCTGCTCGAAGCATTTGTGTGCTGAGCTGTGCTGCTTGTGGTGGTGTGATGCTTTCCGCAGAGAAGCAACGCTGCTTGGTCCTGCTGTGCTTGCAGGACTGCTGCCTGGGAAGCCTTGAAGGACCCTGTGTCAAGGCTGCCAGAGCATCCCTTGGATGCACTGTGCTGCTTCCCTCCGTGCTGTGGGCATGGCAGCCCAGACCTGTTGCACAGGGAGATGCACAAAACACAGAAGTGCCAGATACTTCAGGGTTATACACACTTGAAAAGTGTTGTCTAGACAGAGAAACAAATGCTGCTCACCACCAGCGCTGGCCAGGGCCATGTATTTCGTTGCTGGCAGCAGTGTGCTGGCACAGAGGGCACAGCCCTGGGCAAGGCCCCTGGCCAGGTGAGCTGCAACGACAGTCACCTGCTGCTCTGTGATCCAGCAGGATTCAAGGATTTGGCAGCATAGCTTCCCCATCCCTGTGTCTCTCCTCCTTCCCTTGCCTGGCTGTATCCAGGAGGGAGATGTCTGGGGCACCAGCTTGAAAGCAGAGCTGCTGAGACCTGAGTGCATCAACAAGCACCTGGAGGGGATGTGCGGAGTGAGGCAGGGCTCTCCCTACCTGCAGGAGCCAGAGGGGCTGCTCGGCACTGGGGGCACAGGCTTTGGAGCAGCAGGTCTCCTGCCCACCCCATTGTGTCCAGTTTGGAGAGGCTGCACACATGCAGGTGAAGTCGGGGAGCATGTGCCCTGCATTAGAGACCTGAGGGGCGTTGCTCCATCCCTCCCACCCAGAGCTCACCCCCTGCCCCACTACAGCCTCCCCTCGCCAGCCAGGCACTTGGGCTGGGAAAGCACAGCGGGAATGGGGTGGGAGGATGGATTAATCCCACTGGTGGCAGGGACTGGGTGGAGTGGGGGGAAGACGCTGGCATAGAGTCCATTTATCATGCACTTGAGGCACGCTTGACTTTAATAGCTCATGAAGCACTTTAAGAGATGCATTAGCACTGAATACTTGAGTGAGGAGGATGTGACAAGCTGTTAAGTGAGCACGAGCAGGGTGCAGCAAGGCTGGCCACCCGCTCCTGGCTCTCACGTGGACCCTGGTGATTACTGGAGCGTCCTGCAAAGTGCCACATGAATTAATAAAAGCAGCGTCGGACTCAGAGGAGGTGAGGCTGCTCATGCGTTAACCCCTCTGCTGCTCATCTTTGGTCCTTCTCCTTGGAGCTGGCAGAGCAAAGGGTGCATTTGTCCAGGATGGGGGAGCCCAGGATGCTCCCCGAGATTGGGGGTGGGGGTGGAGGGGCTCAGACGTCAGCAGATTTGGGTACCCTCCCTCCCTCCAGTCGCAGAGCTCCCTTGCTTCACATCCGTGGCATGTTGCTAAAATTGCACTTGCACCACCCCGCTGGGCACTGGCGCTTCCAGCTACCCATGGGGGTGGGTACTGTGCGGAGCCATCGCTCAGGGCAGCACCAGGGGGATGCTCAGAGGGTGTCACTAATCTGCTGGCTCGGGCAGGGGGTTTTGAGTGTCCTCCTGCAGCAAAAGAGGGTGTTAGTGAGGGGTTCTCCCCTCACATAGTCCCTTGGGTCACCCCGACCGGAGATGGGGCGGAGTGCCTGGCTGCGGGCGGGGGATGCCGCTCCGCAGGAGAAACATCCCTGATTTCCCGGGTGGTGTCTTCACCCCCAGAATAGCTCAAGCCATCAAACGGGGATTGCTCCCAGCCCACCTTCACGACAGGGTCTTTGGCTCCGGTGTTGATGCCATTTTGGGGCAGCCAGCTTGAACCGTGGGTGCCGCTGGAGCTGCCAGGAGCTGCACAGTGCGCTCACAGCTAATCCTATTGCTGCTAAACCGATCACCCTGCGCTGCTCAGCCCCTCATGCTGGGTGCCTCTGATGGCATGCTCAGCATGGGTGGGATCGCTGCCGCTCGCTGCTGCTGCATTGAACGCACACCCTTCCCCAGCACGGCCAGGGCAGCCGGCGCAGGATCGTTTTGAACAGCCCACCTCAGTGCTCTTGAATTTAGCAGAGGAAAAGGCGATGCACTGGGTATAATTGGAAGCGGGGAAAAAAGAGAAGAGGCTTGCAGGGATTAGCTGCCAGAATAGGTTGGTGTAGGGTGGTGTTTGGTCCTCCTGCCAGTCTCGCTGAGCAAGTGGTCCAGGGATGTCCCCCCGCGGCATGGGTAAGCACTAAAAGTAAACCAGCTTCAGATGGGGCTGCTGGATGGGCGGCAGCCTGCCTTCAGTGACGGGCATTGCCCCTGGCGGCCACGGGGCTGTCCCATCTGCAGAGCTCCCAGCCAGCACAGAGGTGTGGACAGGAGCTGCAAGAAGAAATGGGAGGGGACAGAGGAGGCAGAACTGGCTGAAGACCATGGAGAAGAGCCCGGTGCCCTCCCTGTTATTGTGGGTAGCTCAGTTTTCCTTCCTGTGTTTCCTTCTCCAGGCAGTGGTTGCTGCCGATTTATTTCAGAGGAGAGGAAGGTGATGGGGAAAGCTCAGCAGAGCACAGAAGCGATGCTGCCTGCTGTGACACTTGCACTTTTGGTTGGCCAGGGCCCCTGTTGTCTCAGAGTAGCACTGGCGGAGGTCCCTGCCATGCAGAGACCCTCTCCCTAGCAGCGCTTGGGCACCCTCAAAGGAAAGGGAGAGGCCACAGCACGAGTCCTGGGGCTTTGCCAAAGCTCCTTAGGTGGGAGGTGTGTACATGGTGGAGGTGCCTAACCGCATGTCAGGACATAAAGTGTACATGCATGGGTGATTTCAGCTCTTTCTATTCATTGCCATGACTGCCTGTGGCTGGACTTAGCTGTTCCCAGTAGACTCAAGGGCTAAAGCAGTCCCGGGAAGGGGGAGCTCTGCTTCTCCAGGCTCCTGCCACGACCAAAGCATCTTCCCCATCCGTCAGCTCTGCCAGAGTTACGTCCACATCTGTCCCAGATTGAGATTTCTCTGCTTTTAAAAGAGGAGTAATTCTGCTTTATTGATCCTCACCTTGCTGAATTAACTCATGTTTAAACAATAATTATGTTTTCACCCAGGAGAGGAGACAAAGAGATGAACGTCTCTGGAAATGAATGCGTTTCAGATGCCACATGCCGGGGTTAATTTATTGATGGCTGCAGAGGCTGCTATCTCCTCTCTTTCTCACCAGCAACAAGCAATTAGCCCCCATCATTCCTTAACCGAGGAAAAGAAAGAGAGATTTTGTTTCATTACTTTCCCTTCTCTCTTGCTCTCTTAAGCCCTGGCGCTAATCTTTTGCAATCGGTTCCGCTGCAAAGCCTCCCGGGAGCTCTGGTTTGCATGCACCTCGTTAGAAATGCTGCCCACATTTCAGCTAAGACAAAGCCTGGGCCAGTAAACAGCCTTCAAAATGCACAGCAAAGCCATGCAAATTGGCTTTTTGAAGAGAAACCAACTGTAGATATGTCCTCTCTAACCTCCCCGCATTGTCCAACCTTCTCCGTGTGGCATTTGTTGGCTGATGGGGATGCCACCAGCTCCTTCTGGACACTGCTTCCTCCCACATCAATCAGCCCATGCAACTCCCCAGGGCATCTGCCTGCCACGATTAAACTAGTTTCTTTGCTTTTGGGGGTGTTCTCTGGGTTTTCTGTGTAGGAGATTTGTGTTTGTAGATTCACGCAGGAACGTGTGGTTTGTTTGTAGACATCTGAGTTGGTTTTGGTTGTTTTGCAAATGCTGTTCAGTTAACGTGCCTGGATTCAAGTGGTGTGATGGGCTACCTGGGTCTCAAGGCTTGGTCTTGGGCACATGGGTGCACAGGGGAGATGTGCATCCAACCTAGTTTCTCCAAATATACATACAGAAGGTCTTGTGTCTCCTCTCCTGTCTTCTCCTCTCTTCTCTCCTCACTATTGGAGTGCCTTTCGGTCATGCATTAAGCGACATGACTAACATCTGTCATGTGTTGTTTGTTTTTCCACCCGCTCCCCAGGGCGAGATGCATGTGCAACAGAGTGTTTGGGAATTTTTTT